CCTGCTGAAAGTTAAGCATGTGTGTAAGTACTTGGCAAAACTGGGGGCCTGAGCCCTGATTCAGCAAAGTGTTTAAGCATGAACCTAATGCTAAGTACATGAGTAATTTCACTGGAGTCAATGGAACCATCCGTGTGGTGAGGTATCTTGGATGATTTCTACATGGTAAACTTAGCATACCTGGTAGCAGTGTGCTCAGTAACTCTGCTGATCTGGGCAGGCTGCCTCTAAACTGGAATCAGTGTATCCATGTCTGTGCAGGTAGGTTAATGAGTTTAGGAGTAGGCTAATTGATATGGACACTCAGCAGTGCTAATTAGCCCACCTGAAATGGCAGTGCTGCAGAAAGGGTAAGTTTACTATGTAGATTGGGACTTGTTGTTCAAAGGACTCAGGGTTTTGCCTCAGAGCCGACTGGTCTTTAAAAACTCAGTCAAGGAGTTGAACTAATTTACCATGCATTTGCTTGGGGGTTCTTTGTGGGTATCAATGCTGAATTTATCCCAGCACATATCAAGCAGCACATGCATATTGATCTGAAAATGATTAGCATAAATAAAGGAAAGATATAGATGTTTCATGATCACCTTCCCTAAGAATGTCCTAGCTTTCTTAATCTGATGACTCTTACCACCTTTTTTAAGATAGTTAGTGGGTGTACCTGACAATTGATATCACATTTTCTTGTGCACCCTAACCCAGACATTTCTGAAATAAACCTGATCCTGCAGTTAACCCTGAAGTTAATAGTAAAAATCTTTACTGACTTCAGTGGGAGTAGAATCAAGCTATTATTTGTGCACATATTCATGTAACTTATTTTAGCTCTCATTAACCCTTCTTGCCGGACTTGTGCCCTCTCATATCCCAGATGTCTATTCTTTGTCCTGAAGCTGTTGCTATACAGACAGCCTATTCCAAATTACAACTTTTCAAAGCCTGACGTTTTCAAAGTTAAAGACAGATTACAGGTTGCAATCCTCAAAGCTCCCTATTTGGATTGTTTCCAGATGAAATCATATTTAAACAATACCAGATTAATGTGATGTTCAATTTGGTGCATGCAGCAATTGAAAGCAGTGTTGCTTGGTGAGGGACAGGTGGAAGATTTCTCCCTCTCCAGTTATAGAAGTCCATATTACTGTCAGAGCCTGGAATGTGTCTTCAGTTTAGACTCCTGTTTTGTAATCTCACCCACCAGGTCTCTCCCAACATTTCAGCTGCTATGTTTAATGGTAGACTAGCCACAACCTTCAGAGTTATTCAGTGCCACTCCTTGAAGTAGATGGAAAGTATCATGGCTGAACGACACAAGATCTTGTGGAATAGATATAGTCTGAACTTGGTCTGCATTAAGTGATGATGTTGACCCTCACACCTATTTTTGAAAGCATGGGTGGCTGGGGAAAAATATTTTGTCATAGCTTTCAGATATTTCACCTGTACCATTCAATCCTTTCATGTTTGAATCCCCCCTCACAATCCCATTCTTGAAAGGGGATGTAGCTCAGCGGTAGCGTGCATGTTTTGCATGTATGAGGTCCTAGGTTCGATCCCCAGCATCTCCACTTTTTTGTGGTGGATGGGTCGGTTTCGACCTGGAAGGGTGTGGGCAGTGGGGTCCCGCAGGGCTCGGTCCTGGGACCGATACTCTTTAATGTCTTCATCAGTGACTTGGATGAGGGAGTGAAATGCACTCTGTCCAAGTTTGCAGATGACACAAAGCTATGGGGATGAGTGGACACGCCGGAGGGCAGGGAACAGCTGCAAGCAGACCTGGACAAGTAGGCAGAAAACAACAGAATGCAGTTCAACAAGGAGAAATGCAAAGTGCTACACCTAGGGAGGAAAAATGTCCGGCACACCTACAGCCTAGGGAATGACCTGCTGGGTGGCACGGAAGTGGAAAGGGATCTTGGAGTCCTAGTGGACTCCAAGATGAACATGAGTCGTCAGTGTGACAATGCCATCAGAAAAGCCAATGGCACTTTATCGTGCATCAGCAGATGCATGATGAATAAATCCAAGGAGGTGATACTTCCCCTCTATCGGGTGCTGGTCAGACCGCAGTTGGAGTACTGCGTGCAATTCTGGGCGCCGCACTTCAAGAGGGATGCGGATAACCTGGAGAGAGTCCAGAGAAGGGCCACTCGTGTGGTTAAGGGCT